CCAGACTCAAGCATACACACTCCTAGTGGGGAAGCAGAAATCATAAGACTTTGTCACGTGCAATGGGGTGTGTGGGAAATTCAAAGAAGAGCCAGCCATGCCCTTGGCACAGCATCCGTTTGCTTCGGGGACTAGTGCCAGGTAGACAACAGCATTGTGGAAATCCAGGGCAAGGCAATGGGTGCAGCATGCCTTTGCTCATGAAGCTTGCTCATCTCTGGTCACCATTCTGAAGGCAACTCCATGATTAGTGGGGTCCCTATTCTGGTAGACAGCTGTAGCAACAGAGACGGCATTATACACACAGCCCGGCGTCCATCAACAGCCATCCTAGGCACACCCCTTGAGCCCACAGAGTTACTTCATCCCAGGGTTCCTTTGCATTCTCAGCCTCTCTCTTTCTTCTGCATCTAGGAGCGGTCACATCCCCAGGAGGCACCGGGACAAGCAGAGCTGAAACCACGCCAACTGGCAGGGCAGCAACCGGCAGCGTCAGCTCCAGTGCAGTCACTCAAGGTGAGGGCAGGGATCAGGGATCTTCTGGCCCTTGCTCTCCCCTTTCAACGTGCTACTTCTTCTCTCATACCAATGTCCAAATGGAGCCTCTCTCTCGGCATGCCACAAGACTTTAGGCACCCATAGCTTGCCTCGCTCTCCATGGGGGCTACCTGCCAAGGAGCACAAAGCCTAACCAGCCCACCTAGTGAAGCTGAGAGTAGGCTTACCACTTAGCACTTGCCAGGGACACTCAGGGGCCACGCCTTTAGCAGCCACTGCCTCTCCTTCCATTCCCTTCCAAGGAATTTTCTCATTTGGCCTTCATCTCCTTGCAGGCCACTCATGATAACTCCATTTCCTCCTCGTCTTCATAAAGGCTCCATTAGAATTTCGCAGCCTTCCTAGGAAACTTTCTGCAGGGATAGGAGAGTGCCGACAGCAGGAGCCATCTCCTGAAATGACCAAAAATATTTCGCCACCTCATTCAGCCGGTTGTGCCGAGTGCTCCAATCTTCCTCATCCTCGTTGCATATTTCACTCTTCCTTTCCTCCATACTTCACTCTAACCTTACTGCCTTTTTCCACTAGCACTCTTCCTCTCAGCCCAACCAACTTCTCCCAGTTCCCAATTTCACTTTTCTCACAGGACGAAAGGAGTCACCAACACATGCCTGCCCACACGCCAGCACACACAGAGACCCAGACACACACGTAGATACGCACACACACACACACACACACACACACACACACACACACAAACACACACACTCACACATGAACAATCAGGATTTCACAGACACGGGATGTGAGGCATGCAGACTTGGCACCCATCCCGTGTGTTCTGGGATCGATGCACAGGCAGAGATCTGATCCAGACTATTCCTCAGAAAGGCCAAGGTGTCCAGGGGCCTGCAGGGCCATCTCCAGGCATTCTGCTCTATATCGACACCCAGAACTCACATGGATCTCCAGGAGGAAGTGGGGCTCTTCACTTTGCAGAGCCCTACTTCCTCATATCCAGTATATTAGCATGGCAAGGTTCCACCTCCCTCAAATCATGGTCCCCTTAGAGAAGGAAGGACCAACTACAGCCCTGAAAGTCATCCCTCAGCAGCATTCACATCTGACTGGATTCCACACACTTGCTGGCACAAGTGGAACATCTTTGGGGACAAATGACTATTGGAGCATTGTAAACCCAGGTCCTTGCAGGAGGATTGGCTCAGCCACCTGCCTCTTGTGTTCACCAGCAATTCAGTTGGTTAGGGAATACCTGGGGCCATAGCATCAGAAAGACAGGCCTGACGAGAAGCTCAGCATCTGAAAAGCAAGGTGCCATGTCACCTTCACACCTATTTCCTCAAAGATTTGTCCCCTCCACGTGACCATTCCTTGCCCATTGGCGACTCTCCTCATTCACCATTTCTTCTTTTGCCCAAAAGGAATCGTGAGTCCAGCTGCCAGTGGCACATACAGAGCTGAAACCAGCACTACAGGAAGAGCAGCAGCTGGGAGCAGCTCTTCCACTGGAACCACACAAGGTGAGTGGCATTGCAGACATCTTGGGACAACTTAGTGTCTGTCCTTTCAAGTGTCTTTGTTGAGGAAGAAGCCTAAGTGCTGAGGGCATTAGAGTGTTCCCTCCCTTGGGGGCAGAAAATGCAGCTAGCTGCTGGGCTTTCTTGGCTCCTTCACGGGCAGCCTAGGAGCCTCCTCAGCCAACTCAGCCAAGTCCCCAGGAAGCCCCTCTTTGCATTTTGCCAGCTGCGCCACCCGTGGCCCAGGCAGACCCTTTTTGCACACGAGCCTTAGAGAAGGGAAAAGCAGACAAGCTCTGCCATCTCACCCTCAGGCCCCTTCATACCAGCATTTCTTGATTTGGGACCAGTGAGACAGAAAGAAGGCCTTGACATTCCTTGAGTTCCATGGGGACGTCTTCATCACTGACAAGAAGTGACTGGGCAGGACTGTAACTCAGGAGATGTTCTCCTGTTTGCGCAGGAGCTGGAAAAGCCTGGTTTCCCTACTTGACTAGGTCCACTTCTTCTTGTGCATTTTTTCATTCAGTCCTTCTCTGGCTGTGCTGGTACAGCACTGTCTCCCCACACTTTATGGGGCGGCCCTCTGCCTCTCCATGCACAGCCAGGCTCCCCTTTCTCTGTTCTTTGCTCCAAATGACAAGTCGCTATTGAAAGCCAGACTCAAGCATACACACTCCTAGTGGGGAAGCAGAAATCATAAGACTTTGTCACGTGCAATGGGGTGTGTGGGAAATTCAAAGAAGAGCCAGCCATGCCCTTGGCACAGCATCCGTTTGCTTCGGGGACTAGTGCCAGGTAGACAACAGCATTGTGGAAATCCAGGGCAAGGCAATGGGTGCAGCATGCCTTTGCTCATGAAGCTTGCTCATCTCTGGTCACCATTCTGAAGGCAACTCCATGATTAGTGGGGTCCCTATTCTGGTAGACAGCTGTAGCAACAGAGACGGCATTATACACACAGCCCGGCGTCCATCAACAGCCATCCTAGGCACACCCCTTGAGCCCACAGAGTTACTTCATCCCAGGGTTCCTTTGCATTCTCAGCCTCTCTCTTTCTTCTGCATCTAGGAGCGGTCACATCCCCAGGAGGCACCGGGACAAGCAGAGCTGAAACCACGCCAACTGGCAGGGCAGCAACCGGCAGCGTCAGCTCCAGTGCAGTCACTCAAGGTGAGGGCAGGGATCAGGGATCTTCTGGCCCTTGCTCTCCCCTTTCAACGTGCTACTTCTTCTCTCATACCAATGTCCAAATGGAGCCTCTCTCTCGGCATGCCACAAGACTTTAGGCACCCATAGCTTGCCTCGCTCTCCATGGGGGCTACCTGCCAAGGAGCACAAAGCCTAACCAGCCCACCTAGTGAAGCTGAGAGTAGGCTTACCACTTAGCACTTGCCAGGGACACTCAGGGGCCACGCCTTTAGCAGCCACTGCCTCTCCTTCCATTCCCTTCCAAGGAATTTTCTCATTTGGCCTTCATCTCCTTGCAGGCCACTGATGATAACTCCATTTCCTCCTCGTCTTCATAAAGGCTCCATTAGAATTTCGCAGCCTTCCTAGGAAACTTTCTGCAGGGATAGGAGAGTGCCGACAGCAGGAGCCATCTCCTGAAATGACCAAAAATATTTCGCCACCTCATTCAGCCGGTTGTGCCGAGTGCTCCAATCTTCCTCATCCTCGTTGCATATTTCACTCTTCCTTTCCTCCATACTTCACTCTAACCTTACTGCCTTTTTCCACTAGCACTCTTCCTCTCAGCCCAACCAACTTCTCCCAGTTCCCAATTTCACTTTTCTCACAGGACGAAAGGAGTCACCAACACATGCCTGCCCACACGCCAGCACACACAGACACCCAGACACACACGTAGATACGCACACACACACACACACACACACACACACACACAAACACACACACTCACACATGAACAATCAGGATTTCACAGACACGGGATGTGAGGCATGCAGACTTGGCACCCATCCCGTGTGTTCTGGGATCGATGCACAGGCAGAGATCTGATCCAGACTATTCCTCAGAAAGGCCAAGGTGTCCAGGGGCCTGCAGGGCCATCTCCAGGCATTCTGCTCTATATCGACACCCAGAACTCACATGGATCTCCAGGAGGAAGTGGGGCTCTTCACTTTGCAGAGCCCTACTTCCTCATATCCAGTATATTAGCATGGCAAGGTTCCACCTCCCTCAAATCATGGTCCCCTTAGAGAAGGAAGGACCAACTACAGCCCTGAAAGTCATCCCTCAGCAGCATTCACATCTGACTGGATTCCACACACTTGCTGGCACAAGTGGAACATCTTTGGGGACAAATGACTATTGGAGCATTGTAAACCCAGGTCCTTGCAGGAGGATTGGCTCAGCCACCTGCCTCTTGTGTTCACCAGCAATTCAGTTGGTTAGGGAATACCTGGGGCCATAGCATCAGAAAGACAGGCCTGACGAGAAGCTCAGCATCTGAAAAGCAAGGTGCCATGTCACCTTCACACCTATTTCCTCAAAGATTTGTCCCCTCCACGTGACCATTCCTTGCCCATTGGCGACTCTCCTCATTCACCATTTCTTCTTTTGCCCAAAAGGAATCGTGAGTCCAGCTGCCAGTGGCACATACAGAGCTGAAACCAGCACTACAGGAAGAGCAGCAGCTGGGAGCAGCTCTTCCACTGGAACCACACAAGGTGAGTGGCATTGCAGACATCTTGGGACAACTTAGTGTCTGTCCTTTCAAGTGTCTTTGTTGAGGAAGAAGCCTAAGTGCTGAGGGCATTAGAGTGTTCCCTCCCTTGGGGGCAGAAAATGCAGCTAGCTGCTGGGCTTTCTTGGCTCCTTCACGGGCAGCCTAGGAGCCTCCTCAGCCAACTCAGCCAAGTCCCCAGGAAGCCCCTCTTTGCATTTTGCCAGCTGCGCCACCCGTCGCCCAGGCAGACCCTTTTTGCACACGAGCCTTACAGAAGGAAAAGCAGACAAGCTCTGCCATCTCGCCCTCAGGCCCCTTCATACCAGCATTTCTTGATTTGGGACCAGTGAGACAGAAAGAAGGCCTTGACATTCCTTGAGTTCCATGGGGACGTCTTCATCACTGACAAGAAGTGACTGGGCAGGACTGTAACTCAGGAGATGTTCTCCTGTTTGCGCAGGAGCTGGAAAAGCCTGGTTTCCCTACTTGACTAGGTCCACTTCTTCTTGTGCATTTTTTCATTCAGTCCTTCTCTGGCTGTGCTGGTACAGCACTGTCTCCCCACACTTTATGGGGCGGCCCTCTGCCTCTCCATGCACAGCCAGGCTCCCCTTTCTCTGTTCTTTGCTCCAAATGACAAGTCGCTATTGAAAGCCAGACTCAAGCATACACACTCCTAGTGGGGAAGCAGAAATCATAAGACTTTGTCACGTGCAATGGGGTGTGTGGGAAATTCAAAGAAGAGCCAGCCATGCCCTTGGCACAGCATCCGTTTGCTTCGGGGACTAGTGCCAGGTAGACAACAGCATTGTGGAAATCCAGGGCAAGGTAATGGGTGCAGCATGCCTTTGCTCATGAAGCTTGCTCATCTCTGGTCACCATTCTGAAGGCAACTCCATGATTAGTGGGGTCCCTATTCTGGTAGACAGCTGTAGCAACAGAGACGGCATTATACACACAGCCCGGCGTCCATCAACAGCCATCCTAGGCACACCCCTTGAGCCCACAGAGTTACTTCATCCCAGGGTTCCTTTGCATTCTCAGCCTCTCTCTTTCTTCTGCATCTAGGAGCGGTCACATCCCCAGGAGGCACCGGGACAAGCAGAGCTGAAACCACGCCAACTGGCAGGGCAGCAACCGGCAGCGTCAGCTCCAGTGCAGTCACTCAAGGTGAGGGCAGGGATCAGGGATCTTCTGGCCCTTGCTCTCCCCTTTCAACGTGCTACTTCTTCTCTCATACCAATGTCCAAATGGAGCCTCTCTCTCGGCATGCCACAAGACTTTAGGCACCCATAGCTTGCCTCGCTCTCCATGGGGGCTACCTGCCAAGGAGCACAAAGCCTAACCAGCCCACCTAGTGAAGCTGAGAGTAGGCTTACCACTTAGCACTTGCCAGGGACACTCAGGGGCCACGCCTTTAGCAGCCACTGCCTCTCCTTCCATTCCCTTCCAAGGAATTTTCTCATTTGGCCTTCATCTCCTTGCAGGCCACTCATGATAACTCCATTTCCTCCTCGTCTTCATAAAGGCTCCATTAGAATTTCGCAGCCTTCCTAGGAAACTTTCTGCAGGGATAGGAGAGTGCCGACAGCAGGAGCCATCTCCTGAAATGACCAAAAATATTTCGCCACCTCATTCAGCCGGTTGTGCCGAGTGCTCCAATCTTCCTCATCCTCGTTGCATATTTCACTCTTCCTTTCCTCCATACTTCACTCTAACCTTACTGCCTTTTTCCACTAGCACTCTTCCTCTCAGCCCAACCAACTTCTCCCAGTTCCCAATTTCACTTTTCTCACAGGACGAAAGGAGTCACCAACACATGCCTGCCCACACGCCAGCACACACAGAGACCCAGACACACACGTAGATACGCACACACACACACACACACACACACACACACACAAACACACACACTCACACATGAACAATCAGGATTTCACAGACACGGGATGTGAGGCATGCAGACTTGGCACCCATCCCGTGTGTTCTGGGATCGATGCACAGGCAGAGATCTGATCCAGACTATTCCTCAGAAAGGCCAAGGTGTCCAGGGGCCTGCAGGGCCATCTCCAGGCATTCTGCTCTATATCGACACCCAGAACTCACATGGATCTCCAGGAGGAAGTGGGGCTCTTCACTTTGCAGAGCCCTACTTCCTCATATCCAGTATATTAGCATGGCAAGGTTCCACCTCCCTCAAATCATGGTCCCCTTAGAGAAGGAAGGACCAACTACAGCCCTGAAAGTCATCCCTCAGCAGCATTCACATCTGACTGGATTCCACACACTTGCTGGCACAAGTGGAACATCTTTGGGGACAAATGACTATTGGAGCATTGTAAACCCAGGTCCTTGCAGGAGGATTGGCTCAGCCACCTGCCTCTTGTGTTCACCAGCAATTCAGTTGGTTAGGGAATACCTGGGGCCATAGCATCAGAAAGACAGGCCTGAGGAGAAGCTCAGCATCTGAAAAGCAAGGTGCCATGTCACCTTCACACCTATTTCCTCAAAGATTTGTCCCCTCCACGTGACCATTCCTTGCCCATTGGCGACTCTCCTCATTCACCATTTCTTCTTTTGCCCAAAAGGAATCGTGAGTCCAGCTGCCAGTGGCACATACAGAGCTGAAACCAGCACTACAGGAAGAGCAGCAGCTGGGAGCAGCTCTTCCACTGGAACCACACAAGGTGAGTGGCATTGCAGACATCTTGGGACAACTTAGTGTCTGTCCTTTCAAGTGTCTTTGTTGAGGAAGAAGCCTAAGTGCTGAGGGCATTAGAGTGTTCCCTCCCTTGGGGGCAGAAAATGCAGCTAGCTGCTGGGCTTTCTTGGCTCCTTCACGGGCAGCCTAGGAGCCTCCTCAGCCAACTCAGCCAAGTCCCCAGGAAGCCCCTCTTTGCATTTTGCCAGCTGCGCCACCCGTGGCCCAGGCAGACCCTTTTTGCACACGAGCCTTAGAGAAGGGAAAAGCAGACAAGCTCTGCCATCCTCAGGCCCCTTCAGATCAGTGATTTTGGGACCCAGTGAGACAGAAAAGAAAGCCTTGACATTCCTTGAGTTCCATGGGGACGTCTTCATCACTGACAAGAAGTGACTGGGCAGGACTGTAACTCAGGAGATGTTCTCCTGTTTGCGCAGGAGCTGGAAAAGCCTGGTTTCCCTACTTGACTAGGTCCACTTCTTCTTGTGCATTTTTTCATTCAGTCCTTCTCTGGCTGTGCTGGTACAGCACTGTCTCCCCACACTTTGGGGGGCCCTCTGCCTCTCCATGCACAGCCAGGCTCCCCTTTCTCTGTTCTTTGCTCCAAATGACAAGTCGCTATTGAAAGCCAGACTCAAGCATACACACTCCTAGTGGGGAAGCAGAAATCATAAGACTTTGTCACGTGCAATGGGAAATTCAAAGAAGAGCCAGCCATGCCCTTGGCCAGCTTTGCTTCGGGACTAGTGCCAGGTAGACAACAGCATTGTGGAAATCCAGGGCAAGGTAATGGTGCAGCATGCCTTTGCTCATGAAGCTTGCTCATCTCTGGTCACCATTCTGAAGGCAACTCCATGATTAGTGGTCCCTATTCTGGTAGACAGCTGTAGCAACAGAGACGGCATTATACACACAGCCCGGCGTCCATCAACAGCCATCCTAGGCACACCCCTTCACCCCACAGAGTTACTTCCCAGGGTTCCTTTGCATTCTCATCTCTTCCTTCTCTTCTGCATCTAAGCGTCCTCCCCAGGCACTGGGACAAACAGAGCTGAAACCACACCAACTGGCAGTGCAGCAACCGCAGCGACAGCTCCAGTGCAGTCACTCAAGGTGAGGGCAGGGATCAGGGATCTTCTGGCCCTTGCTCTCCCCTTTCAACGTGCTACTTCTTCTCTCATACCAATGTCCAAATGGAGCCTCTCTCTCGGCATGCCACAAGACTTTAGGCACCCATAGCTTGCCTCGCTCCCATGGGGGCTACCTGCCAAGGAGCACAAAGCCTAACCAGCCCACCTAGTAGTGAAGCTGAGAGTAGGCTTACCACTTAGCACTTGCCAGGGACACTCAGGGGCCACGCCTTTAGCAGCCACTGCCTCTCCTTCCATTCCCTTCCAAGGAATTTTCTCATTTGGCCTTCATCTCCTTGCAGGCCACTGATGATAACTCCATTTCCTCCTCGTCTTCATAAAGGCTCCATTAGAATTTCGCAGCCTTCCTAGGAAACTTTCTGCAGGTAGGAGAGTGCCGACAGCAGGAGCCATCTCCTGAAATGACCAAAAATATTTCGCCACCTCATTCAGCCGGTTGTGCCGAGTGCTCCAATCTTCCTCATCCTCGTTGCATATTTCACTCTTCCTTTCCTCCATACTTCACTCTAACCTTACTGCCTTTTTCCACTAGCACTCTTCCTCTCAGCCCAACCAACTTCTCCCAGTTCCCAATTTCACTTTTCTCACAGGACGAAAGGAGTCACCAACACATGCCTGCCCACACGCCAGCACACACAGAGACCCAGACACACACGTAGATACGCACACACACACACACACACACACACACACACACACTCACACATGAACAATCAGGATTTCACAGACACGGGATGTGAGGCATGCAGACTTGGCACCCATCCCGTGTGTTCTGGGATCGATGCACAGGCAGAGATCTGATCCAGACTATTCCTCAGAAAGGCCAAGGTGTCCAGGGGCCTGCAGGGCCATCTCCAGGCATTCTGCTCTATATCGACACCCAGAACTCACATGGATCTCCAGGAGGAAGTGGGGCTCTTCACTTTGCAGAGCCCTACTTCCTCATATCCAGTATATTAGCATGGCAAGGTTCCACCTCCCTCAAATCATGGTCCCCTTAGAGAAGGAAGGGCCAACTACAGCCCTGAAAGTCATCCCTCAGCAGCATTCACATCTGACTGGATTCCACACACTTGCTGGCACAAGTGGAACATCTTTGGGGACAAATGACTATTGGAGCATTGTAAACCCAGGTCCTTGCAGGAGGATTGGCTCAGCCACCTGCCTCTTGTGTTCACCAGCAATTCAGTTGGTTAGGGAATACCTGGGGCCATAGCATCAGAAAGACAGGCCTGACGAGAAGCTCAGCATCTGAAAAGCAAGGTGCCATGTCACCTTCACACCTATTTCCTCAAAGATTTGTCCCCTCCACGTGACCATTCCTTGCCCATTGGCGACTCTCCTCATTCACCATTTCTTCTTTTGCCCAAAAGGAATCGTGAGTCCAGCTGCCAGTGGCACATACAGAGCTGAAACCAGCACTACAGGAAGAGCAGCAGCTGGGAGCAGCTCTTCCACTGGAACCACACAAGGTGAGTGGCATTGCAGACATCTTGGGACAACTTAGTGTCTGTCCTTTCAAGTGTCTTTGTTGAGGAAGAAGCCTAAGTGCTGAGGGCATTAGAGTGTTCCCTCCCTTGGGGGCAGAAAATGCAGCTAGCTGCTGGGCTTTCTTGGCTCCTTCACGGGCAGCCTAGGAGCCTCCTCAGCCAACTCAGCCAAGTCCCCAGGAAGCCCCTCTTTGCATTTTGCCAGCTGCGCCACCCGTGGCCCAGGCAGACCCTTTTTGCACACGAGCCTTAGAGAAGGGAAAAGCAGACAAGCTCTGCCATCTCACCCTCAGGCCCCTTCATACCAGCATTTCTTGATTTGGGACCAGTGAGACAGAAAGAAGGCCTTGACATTCCTTGAGTTCCATGGGGACGTCTTCATCACTGACAAGAAGTGACTGGGCAGGACTGTAACTCAGGACATGTTCTCCTGTTTGCGCAGGAGCTGGAAAAGCCTGGTTTCCCTACTTGACTAGGTCCACTTCTTCTTGCGCATTTTTTCATTCACTCCTTCTCTTGCTTTGCTAGTGCAGCACCGTCTCCCCACCCTTTGTGGGGGGACCCTCTGCCTCTCCATGCACAGCCAGTCTCCCCTTTCTCTCTTCTTTGCTCCAAATGACAAGTCGCTATTCAAAGCCAGACTCGAACATACACAGTCATAAGGCGGGAAGCAGAAATGATAACGCTTTTTGATGTGCCATGGGGTCTTGGGGAAATTGAAAGAAGAGCCAGCCATGCCCTTGGCACAGCATCCATTTGGTTCAGGGACTAGTGGCAGGTAGACAACAGCATTGTGGAAATCCAGGGCAAGGTAATGGGTACAGCATGCCTTTGCTCATGAAGCTTGCTCCTCTCTGGTCACCATTCTTAAAGCAGCTCCATGATTAGTGGGGTACCTATTCTTGTAGACAGCTGTCGCAATGGAGACAGCATTATAGACACAGCCCAGACTCCATCAACAGCCATCCTAGGCACACCACTTGACACCACAGTGTTACCTGATCCCAGGGTTCCTTTGCATTCTCATCTGGGACACTCAGCCTCTATCTTTCTTCTGCATCTAGAAGCGGTCACATCCCCAGGAGGCACTGGTACAAGCAGAGCTGAAACCACGCCAACTGGCAGGGCAGCAACCGGCAGCGTCAGCTCCAGTGCAGTCACTCAAGGTGAGGGCAGGGATCAGGGATCTTCTGGCCCTTGCTCTCCCCTTTCAACGTGCTACTTCTTCTCTCATACCAATGTCCAAATGGAGCCTCTCTCTCAGCATGCCACAAGACTTTAGGCACCCATAGCTTTCCTTGCTCTCCATGGGGGCTACCTGCCAAGGAGCACAAAGCCTAACCAGCCCACGTAGTGAAGCTGAGAGTAGGCTTACCACTTAGCACTTGCCAGGGACACTCAGGGGCCACGCCTTTAGCAGCCACTGCCTCTCCTTCCATTCCCTTCCAAGGAATTTTCTCATTTGTCCTTCATCTCCTTGCAGGCCACTGACGATAACTCCATTTCCCTCCTTGTGTTCATATGGGCTCCATTAGAATTTCGCAGCCTTCCTAGGAAACTATTCGCAGGGATAGGAGAGTGCTGACAGCAGGATTCATCTCCTGAGATGAGCAAAAATATTTCGCCCCCTCATTGAGCCGGTTTTGCCGGCTTGTCCTCGTTGAATTTTTTTACTCTTTCTTTCTATGCATTTTTGAGTCTTATCTCACTGACTTTTTCCACATGCACTCTTCCTATCCACCGAACCAATTTTGCTTATTTCTGTATCTCTATGTTTTTCCTTATTGGTGTAATCAAAAGGTGGAGCACATCAATGTCTATATGAAAACATTAGATAAGTTTAAATATACTGATGTTACCCTAGCATCTTTCCCATTCATAACAGGAATAATGCCGGGATGTCCAATTTATTTTTTTTTATTAAGTTGGTATATTCCAGAAGTGCTATCAATGAGGTGAAAAATTAAAGGTGTAAAAATAGGCAAATTGAGAGATAAAAATATCTCTATTTTCTTATAACACATTGATTTAGGTACAAAATCCCAAGGAATCATCTAAAATATTAAGATAATAATTTCAACAAAATTACAAAATAAAAGTGTAAATGCCAAAATCATTTTCCCTCATTATTAATATCCAAGAGAAAGGAAAATTCATTCAAATTTCAAATAAATCCAAAAAATTTATGGATTAGTGTGTTAAACTCTGTAAAATACTTCCACATCTTCAACAATAAAGTTTTTTTTAAGAAATAAGAAAAACCTAAAAAGCTCTGGGAACATTCATTGTTATTGGTAATTTTTACAATGAGAACACTACTCATGTTAATTTGAAGTTTTTATGCTATTTCAATTAAACTATCAAAGGACACTTTGAAGATCTCAAAAGAAAATTTTTTTTATTTGGCCAAAGAAAAGATCCAAAATATCCAGGGAGACAAAGTTGGGAATGAAAGGATAATAGCAATTTTAGACCTCAAACTAAAGCATTAGCTATCAAAACCATTAAATTAAGTGTAACTTTTGTAAAGTGAAGTAATAGATCATTGGAACAGACTAGACAATGGAGAGTGAGAAGCAATAGAATTCAATAATTTAGTGTTTGATAAATCTGAAAACATAAATAATTGAGGCAAGAATTCCTTATCTGATAAAAAATTTTTTAGGAAAATTGGAAATTAGGCATAAATTTGACTTAAACTACAGTCAGTTCAAAATTCAGAAGTGACCTTTATATTGAAGATCATACAATTTTAAAAAGGAAGAGAAAGAAATCATATAGTTTCCATAGTTATGAGTAGGGAGTGTTTTCTTTTCTTTTCTTTTCTTTTTTTTTTTTTGGTGAGGCAATTGGGGTTAATTCACTTGCCCAGAGTTACACAGCTAGGGAATTTTAGGTGTCTGAGGCCATATTTCAACTCAAGTCCTCCTGACTCCAAGCTGATGCTCTATCCACTGTGCCACCTATAGCTGCCCTTGGGTGTGTATTCTTAACCGAAGGTTAGAGAAAAATTTAACAAGGCAAAGTAGATTACTTTGATTACATGAAACTGAAAACTTTTCAAAGAAACAAAACAAATTCTTCTGAGACAAGAAAGAAGGAGTCAAATTTTTTAAATCTTTGTAGTGGAATATTACTATGATATACAACATGACAAATATGATGAATACAAAGAATCATGTGGCACAGTGAAGTAACCTGAACTAAGCAAACAAACATACAATGGCTACAGTTTGTAAACAGAATGAAAGAACAATCACAAAATAATCAAGTGGCAGCTGAGTGGAGCAAGGGATAGAGCTTTGGGCCTAGAATCAGAAATACCTGAGTTCAAATGTAGCCTGAGACACTTATTAGCTATGTGACTGTGGGCAAGCCACTTAACATTTGTCTACTTCAGTTTCCTCAACTGTAAAATAGTAGTAATTAAAGCAACTACTTCATAGTGTCATTGTAATGTTCTAATGAAATATCATTTGTAAAATGTTTAGTATAATGCTTGGCGTTTAGTAGGTCCTTAATTAACTTGTTACCTTCCTTACCTCAAGAGTGAATATTGCAAAATTATATAGAGCAGGTACGGCTTCAAAGAAGAGCTATGAGAAGACACTCCCACCACCTTCTCCTTTGCAAAAGTAGGAAGTCAATGGGTAGTGAAACATTGCACAAAATTTTAGCCTTTCTCTGTGTAAACAACAGATTTGCTGACTTTTTCTCTTCTCCCTCTTTTATTCTTCAAAAAATATTATTTGTAGGGGCAACTAGGTGGCACAGTGGATAGAGTGCTGGCCCTGAAGTCAGGAGGACCTGAGGTCAAATCCGGCCTCAGATACATAACACTTACTGGCTGTGTTACTCTGGGCAAATCACTTAACCCCAATTGCCTCACCAAAAAAAAGAAAAAAAGAAAAACAAACAAAAAAATATTATTTGTTATATGGGATTTCTGAGAAAAGAAAAGGAGGGGAATATTGGGAGAAATTATAGCAATATAAAAAATAAAACATATGAATAAATTTTATTTTAAATAAAGATATAAATTATAGGATGTCATAGAAGATTCTATAGAGGACAGAATGAAAAGTTATCAAGCTTAACATCATATCAATTTAAAAGATTATTTCTGATATTTTTCCCTATTTAGATATTCATCCACAATCTTATCATTCTCCACTTCAGGGCCACATCAGGCAAAAAAAAAATCTTCAACTCCCTCTCATATTTATTTTGATTTTAAACTTCCTAGAACCTCACCTGTCCTATTTTGGTTGCAATCTTGTATCCAAATCTCATAGAATACTGTTAAGCAAGTTGTCAAGTGGTCCCTTGAAGTTGGCTGATATTCTATGATATTCTGTATTTTGATAGTAGATTTAGATTTTAACAGATTAAGCCCTTCTGCTTGTAAAGTTATGGTAGCAGAATGGTGGCAAAGGGGCAGAGAGTGCTAAGAATTGCACTGGTTTTAGACTGTTTAAATTTTCATTTGATTATTGGTATTCTAAATGTGAAATTCTTAACTGATGACCAACAAATGGACATAATGCTAAAGAAATTGGATCATAAAACTCTTGGCTCTGGAAGACCAAAAGAGCTGTCAGTACTGCAAAGAGAGAATATCTAATAATGGAACTCCAGAAACCATGACTGATTGGTAGGAAAGATTTTGGTGGGGTGGGATAGGATTTCACAGATGATGCCACTGTGGATGACTGCTTGCTTGTGAGTCTGGGGCTATTTGCCATTGCTTTTTAGAAATGGAATAATGAATCACCAAAAATAAATAAGGGGATTGGACCAATTTTGGCACTCTTTGAATTTGTATTCTACTAGAAGAAATACTGTAGGAGTTTTAGAAACTAATACAATATCCTTATTTTATATAGGATGTCTAGGACCAGCCTCAGGTAAGGTTATTATAAGCTGCGTCCCTCTCTCCCCATTCCATTACTCATGTATCTTGGGCCTTCATGTATGCACATATGCAAACACGTAATGCATACACATACTTCAATTATTCTGAATTAAATATTCTCCTTGTAAAAAAATAATTTCAATGATCATATAAAAAATGATTTGTGGACTTTGGACTCTTTAGTAGCAAAATCAGAAACAAGGGGATAAATTAATTTATACAACACTGACATATTTGAATAACATCTTTCCTTCACTGACAAAACGAAATTATAACAAATGATTTTGTATTTATCATTGATTTGATGAACTATAGGAAAATCTCATTTAATGTTAAAATAATTATATCTATATTTCTTTTAATCAAAATAATGTCAGCAAGTAGCCTTCATATACGTGAAAGTTTTCTTCACAAGACATCCTCTTTTCTCAAGGTGAAACTAGAGGAAATAGGCTTAAATTATATTATAAATTATTTAGCAAAGTTACCTCACTTCTTTGGGCCTCCATGTCCTCATCTGTAAATTGTTAGAGTCAGACTAAAAGATATATGATGTTTTTACGAGATCTAATAGTCTGGTTAGATTGTGTTTAGATAAAAGTAAGAGCTTCCTGTCATCAAGAGATGTTAAACTCTGATACGGGCATCCAAGGAAAACCAAGGAGTCTTCTTTTTTAGACATTTAAAAATTGTTGCCTGCAATTGCTAGAAATAATTTAGAGATGATCAAATATCGAGGTAGTGAAATCGATTTTTAAAACTTTCAAATTCTTATCTATGACTCAAAAGTAATTTTATTTTTAATTATTAATATACTATATATTTATTTAACATGTATTATACATTTAGAGATATCAGCTGGTTATATTACAGTATATTTAAATCATTTCTTATTTCACAGTACCAGTGTGTCGTGATCCATTCGGTGAAGAAAAATCTGTGAGTGCATGTTTTCATTACATTGTTGTTGTTTGTCCATAGTTTCAGACTTACTAACATCCCTGAATTTAATTAGATTTCTAAGCAATCTTTGTATCCATAGCCTGGAGACATATGGATTATAAATTGCCACCAGTGTACCTGTAATGATTCAAGGTCTGTAGACTGTAAGCCCAGAACATGTCCCACTCCACCCACATGTGCAAATGGAGAGAAGTTGATACAACACAAGTCCAATGAATCTTGTTGTGAAACTGCATATTGTGGTATGTATTTTTCTTTCTTTTTTCCTCTTTACATGTTTTATTGATGTTCTTTTCAATTTTTTTTATGTCACTGTTATTTCCCAAGGATTCGATTCTACCTCATCCATTTATCACCTTGTAAAATACACCTTCTAAGTACAATCAAGAAAAAGAAATCAGTGCATTGGCCATGTCTGAAAACACATATGCCTCATTCTACATCTTTAGTCCACTGCCTGTCAAGAAGAAGGAAACATATTACAGTGTGCTGGAGACAGGATTGGTCTCTGTGTTTGTTACTCAGAGATCTAATGCCTTTCAAAAATGTTTTCCTCTACATTATTTTGGCCATCATTAGTTGTTCTTAATAATCAACAAATTATATTAACATGCTGAATAATACTTAAAATATTTAATGAAGTATGCTTGTTCATAACCATGCAAATACTTTGTTCCGTTATCAGTTGATACATGTTTTCCTAAGTTTCTCTGAATTCTTCATTTGACACAAATGTTTTTAAGGGATAACAATATTCCATTTATATTCATATACCACAATATTTTTACCCTCTTCCCAAATACACACCCTAATTGTTTTACAGAATGATTGGACCAAGTAACATCCATTCCATAAATAAAATAATGCCTATGAGTAAGGTTTGAATTGAAAAATGTGAATTCTGTTAGTATACAGTAATAAAAAGTGCTGATGATTGCATCTGTCATGAGCAGGCAGCTGTCTCATGTTGGTTTCTTGTTTGTTTGTTCAGAGAGAAGAGTTCTGAGCAATTGTATTGCTAACAACAGGAAATACAGAGCTTTGTAGTTGACAAAAAATTCCAACATGACAGGAGATAAGCATGTGTCTTAAATTTAGGTTCTGCCTAAAGTAGAAAGTGAACTATGACAAACGTTGGCATTTCAATGTTTGACAAAGATATACTTTTCTTTTCAATTTTAACTTTAATCCTCCCATGGGGGAAAAAAAAGTATATTTTGATGTTTTATTGTGGGACTGATTATTGTGGTACTGAATATTGTGATTGTCTTTCAGAGCCAAGAACATGTTTTCACAACAACACGGAGTATAAGGTACAGTCTGTCAATTTCCAAATGTTGTCTTTGCCAGAAATAGTTAGCTAGCATTTATATACCACTTTAAAATATACAAGGTACTTGAAAATATTATCTCCTTTAGGCTTCAGAAGAAACCTGGGAGGTAGGCATATTTGTTATCCCCATTTTACAAATGAGGAAACTGAGCCAGGCAAGGATTGTGACTTGCCCAGGATCACACAGCTAGTTTTTGAGATTGTATTTGAACTCAGGTCTTCCTGATTCCAGCATTCTAGCACTACCTAGCAAACGAATAAAGAAATTCTGAGTGAAAACAGAAATAACTGAATAAACGAACAAAGTAATTTTCCATATAACTTCAGTAACACCAAAGATATTTTTCATTTTAAAAAGTCAGTGATTGCAAGTGTAGTAAGCTTTCTTTTCCAAAAAAAAACCACACACACATTTCAAAAAGTCAGAAAAGTACTCTACATATGGTTCTTCTTGAAAGGAAAAAATGTTGATAGCCAATAAACTTCAGAAGTGGAGTTCGTTGTTGATGTTCGATCATTTCAGTTGTGTTTAACTCTCTGTGACCTTATTTGGGGTTTTCTTGGCAAAGATACTAGAGTGGTTTGCCATTTCCTTCTCCAGCTAATTTTACACGTGAGTAATTGAGGTAAATGGGGTTAAGTTATTTACCCAGGGTCAAAGAATAGTAATTGTCTGAGGCCAGATTTGAACTCAGGAATATGAGTTTTCATGACTCCAGGTCTGACACTATAGCTGCCAAAGTGAGGATTACTAACAGAACAAAATGTGAAAATTGCCAGATGGAGTAAGCATAACGTGCAGCATTTTTAGTATTTGAACTGTAATTAAAACTGGGAGGACCTGACATTCACACTATCAGAAATTAGGGAAAGAAACACAAGATCTACCTTTCCTTATATTGAAACTGGATTGTTTATAAGCACAACCAAGTGATATAGTCCATGCAAAACTGGATTTTAGCAAATGACAATTGACATTTTGGCAAGCATAACTTTTCAAAGCAAAAACTAGTCAGTAGTTCTAGGTTTTGAAATTATACAAATGATACATTTGGCATTAATACTAAGCATAAAGTAATCTAGTGACACAAAAATATTGGTATGTCTCCAGGAATATACACAAAACTTATCATAGTCATCATTTGTTCTACTAATTTAAAATGTCTTACTTGGCAGGAAACAAGCATTTTTTAGTGCCTACTATGTTCTAGGTACTATGTTAAGCATTTTATAAATATTATCTCATTTAATGCTCACAACTATCTTGGAAACTGAGTCAGATAGATGTTAAATGGTTTGCCCAGGGTCACACAGCTAGCAAAAGTACGAGCCTAGATTTGAACCCAGGTCTTCCTCTGGCCCTCTAGGCTTTGCTCTTTATCCATTGCAGCTGTCTCAGGTTGGTTTCTTGTTTGTTTGTTCAGCAAGAAGTGTCCTGAGAAATTATTTGCTAGCAACAGGAAATACAGAGTTTTGTAACTGACAAAAAATTCTGACATGACAGCAGATAAGCATGTTTTCAGTTTAGGTTCTGTCTAAAGCAGAAAGTGAACCATGACAAAAACTTTGATTAACCAGCAGATTCTGGTTATACAGTGTTTTTGTTCATTGAAATTTCTGTTAATAGAAAAATACTTTTCACTAAAAATCTAAAGTGTTTTAGGTTTTTTTTCCTGACTTACATCTATGAAGCCTTCCCTGACGCCATTAGATGAAAACGTTTTCTCCCTGTTCAAAGTTTCCCAGAATACTTTCTCTTGATCTCTCCTTTCTCCCATCACACTCTTCCATATGTATAATAGTTGAGGAATTTTCAAAAATTCACATTTCCATCTAGTAGACTGTAAGTTCTTCAAATTCAGGGATTATGTGTTGTTTTTTCTCTGTGATTCACCATTGTCTGGAATGGTGGTTTGCACACATTGTTCAGTCATTGTCAAATTCTTCATGTCCAATTCATGGTGTCCTCATGGTGTCTAATTCCTGGTGTCCAATTCTTTGTGGCTTCTTGGACCACAGCACCCCAATGGTGTCCATGTGGTTTTCTTGGCAAAGGTACTGAGAACGATTTGCCATTTTCTTCTACAGCAGATTAAGGCAAACAGAGGGTAGGTGACTTGCCCAGGGTCACACAGTTAGTAAGTGTCTGCGAGTGGATTTAAAATCAGGTCTCCCCAACTCCAGGCCTAGCGCTCTATACACTGAACCACTTAGCTGTCTCCAACCTTGCACATGGTAGATGCTTAATAAAAATTGGATAGAAATTGAATTAAAGTACAATGATTATAATTAAATTCTAGTTTGAAGATCAAGTACTTTTCTATTCATCAGGGCCACCAACCAGGATATGAATTATATCAATGTATAGTGATAGAGATGTAAAAAGTATGGGAAGATTTGGGCTGCATCTGCACTGACCCTAGGACATATCTTCTATGTTACTTAATTTTGATTATGTCCCTCTCACAAAATCTCTATGATCATCTTATTTCCTTGTGATTCAACCGTTTTCCTTCAAGTGTACAGAATTAGGATTACTTACTGGATTTTTGTTAACAAATTCTCCACTAAAATACTATTCCAATGTTGCACCATAGCATAGAGATGAATCTGAGTTCTTGGAAGATGTGCGAATTCTGACAAGTTCTACCAAGGTTTCAAGTGTGTCAGGTGATGGACTACATGTTGGTTTTCTGTGGACCAACATAACAAGGTTCAAAGAGGAATGTTATCAAACAGGAATGTCTGCCAAATGGTGAATTCTTCCACCATAGCGCCACTCAGAAATGGTCTGCTGCTATGACAGGGTTGTAAAGGGTACTGGTGAGGATAATACCTATGTTGACAAAAGTATTGAAGTTAAACAGTCTCAATTTATAATGAAATTGATGAAAAGTCTCTTTAAGCTCGAATGTGTATCTGGATAGATGGGGTTTTTTTCATTTTCTTCATGAAAATAGATTTTATGTATTATCTAATGTGTGAGGGTTCTCACTGGAATCTTAAAGTGAAAAGAAAAAAATGTATGTCTCTATTTTTTGTAATAACAAGATACATCTGATAATAACATATTTATGGTGTTTTTTTCCCAGATTGGTGCATCATTTGATGATCTTCATAACCCATGTGTGTCCTATTTCTGTACTCAAGATGGCTTTGTCACAAAGGTCCAAGATTGCCCAAAGCAAAGTTGGTGCTCAGAGGTATATCAGTCTATGAACAAATAAGTGAAAATATTCAATGAATCTTTTTTAAAAAAAAGTAAATGTCTCTTTCTCTTTAATAAAATTTTGGCTCTAACATGGATAAATTTTTAGGGGCCTTCTATAAATTCTCGGAAGAATTTGCCTTTGTCTAAAGCCAAATAATTGCAGACATGTTCACATTTATAAACCCTGCCCACTAAATATATTTTTCAAATTTGTAAGATATTTTCAGTATTTAGGTATCTGAAGCAAGCCTTACAACTTAAAATATTTGGGAGAGAAAAGGTCCTCGAGAGTTTTTTCTCTACTAAAAAGAAAAGTGATCAATTTCCTCCAAAAACTTAGAATTGGAGTGAATCAAAGTTGATATGCCCATACAAATTATTCTCCCTCTCTCTCTTTCTCTCTCTCTTACACACATACACACACACACACACACACACACACACACACACACACACACACATATAGATTATATAAGCTGGCAGCAGATGTGTGATGTAAGAGTGAAAAGGAAAGGGGGAAAATGGAATAAATGAAAGTGCTCACCTTAGACCCAGTTGAGTAGATGAACGAGTGAAGTAAGGTTAAAGTTGAAAAATGAAAACAATTGGAAGTTTTCATTATCTCTTGAAAGTAAAAGAATTCCAAAATTATATGTAACTACAATGTTTTATAAAGCCTATGTACTTAAAGGGCTAAAATTAAAAGATTTACAAAGCACTGAATATATAATATCCCATTTCATCACATATATATTTACATATTTTTAAAACACAGATATGTAGATATATGTAAGTAATATATTTTGCATATAATCTACTGTTTTCCTTCTTCTGTGCTTTCACTATACCCCCTGTAATTTAATTCTATTTCAAAATTATAAGTGATTTACAGTAGAATTGTAACATGAGTAATTAATTGGTTTATTGCTAAAGGTGTTTTTCATGACAAAATTATGCATTGTACATAGTACAATAACATAGTACAAAATATTTAAGATAATGGTTTGAGCTTTCTAGAGTGGTATTGGAGGAAGGCAACTCATGAGTAGTGAAGTCAACATTGAGATGTTTCCAAAAGAATTTAAGTAAAAATGTAGTTTACTAATTGAAAACACTACTAAAAACTAAATTTTTTTGTTCTATATCCCCTTTTCTCTCTATATGGGCTTTATAATATTTTTAATTTAAATAAAATTTTGAATTTCCTTTCTTTTCCTTAAATTAAAAAATTGAAGCCTCCAGTTTGTATTGTAATTTAATGTTCCTTTTTTTTTTTTTAGCTTTAACATGTCCCTATCCAGGTCTAAGATGAGTCCATTAATTTGTCCCATTTCACTGTGTTTATAATATTTAATGAATCAATGATAATGTATAAAAACTCATTTCTACTAAACCTTTTCTACTGTTTTTTTCCTACCTTTCTAGGAAAACAGAATATATGATTCAAAACAATGTTGCTACACTTGTGAGTATACTTATACCACCTAAAGATAATTCCATCTCCTGAAAATAATAGTTTGTTTCAAATAAAAATATAATGCACAAATAGAAAACCTCATGCATTTTTAACGTAGCACATAATGTAAGTTTTTTTGTTTGTACTAATTACAGAATATCAATAGCAGATAGCGTGTTTCATCATTAGTCCTTTGGGATTGTGTTGGATCATTGTTTTGCTGAGAATAGCTAAATCATTCACAGTTCTTCATTGAACAATATTGCTGTTACTGTGTACAACATTCTTCTGGTTATATTCACTATGTGCATGTCTTTCCAGGTTTTTCTGAAATCAACCTTCTTGTCATTGCATATAGCACAACAATATTCTGTTACAATCATACACCACAAATTGTTTAGCCATTCCCCAATTGATGGGCATCTCTTTGTAGAAATCATGTTTCATCATAAGTCCCCTGGAGTCACAAATGGCTATGGTATTAGTCATAATTCTAATAACTTTCAAAGTCATTTCATTGTGGTTATTATATAAATTGTTTTGGTTTCACATGTTTCATTCTTTAGAAGTTTATAAAAGTCCTCAAAATTATTTATTTACATAATAGTGATTCTACAGTATATAAATTGTTCTTCTGGCTCTTCATAATTCACTCTATATCAGGTCATATAAATCTTTCCATGTCTTTTTGAAAGCATTTATTTTCTTATTTGTTTTCACACAATCACATTTATAAACCAGAGCTTATTGAGTACTTCCTCAACTGAATTTAGTTTCCAGTTTTTTGCCATCACAAAAAGAGTTGCTATTTAAAAAGACTTTTTTGGGGCAGCTACATGGCGCAGTAGACAGAGAACCAGCCCTGAAGTCAAGAGGACCTGAGTTCAAATCCAGCCCCAAACCCAACACTAGCCACTTACCAGCTATGTGATCCTGGGCAAGTCACTTAGCCCCAATTGCCTTTAAAAAAAAAAAAAGACTTCTTCCTATTTCTTTGATATCTTTTGAGTACAAGTTTAGCAGTGGTATGGCTAGATCATAGGGCATGTACTGTTTAGTAAATTTTTAGATATAATTACAAATTACTTTCCAGAACTGTTGTACCCACTTGCAGTATTTCTCTTTCCCACAACCCTTCCACCATTTACCATTTTGCTTTTTTTGGTAATCTTTCTCACTCTAATTGGTGGAGATAGAATCTCAGAATTGCTTTCATCTGTATTTATCTAGTTGGTAGCAATTTGGGGCACTTTTTCATATGGTATAATCTTGGTTTCTTCCCTTGGGAATGGTCTGTTACAAATAGGTCTAACCTTAGTCATTTGGAGAATGGCTCTTTTTTCTTATAAATTCATATCAGTTCCTTATATATCCTGGAAATGAGACATCTATCAGAGAAACATTGCAGCAATAATTATTGTTTTAATAATTGATTGTTTCCCTCTTAATTTTAACTTTGTTAGATTTCTTTGTGCAAAGAAACTTTTAAAGTTTTATGTAATCAAAACTTTGTAACCATTTTAACTTTTTTATCCTTTTTCTTTTTTGTCATGAACTTTTTTCTTCTATCCATTGAGGTTTTTTTTCTAATTCCTTTATGATGTGATATATATAACATATATATGACCTTTATATGTATATTAACATATATGACTTTATATATGTATATGTGTATATATGACATATATCTTTGTATAAAGTGTGAAGTGTTGGCTTTAATTTAATTTCTTTCATATTATTGTCCAACTTCCCAGCAGCTCTTGTCAAACAGTAAGTCATTATCTGCCTCGGCTGGGATCCTTGTGTTTATCAAACACCAACACATTAGATAGAGTCACTTTTGTATGTTTTATACCTAATCTATTCTACTGAACAATCTCTCTATTAAATATTTAACCAGTACTAAATTGTTTTAATTATTATTGCTTTGTAATATAATTATATATAAATATAATCTGTCACTTCTAGGCCCTTTTCCTTCCCATATCTTTTCATTGTTTCTCTTGAGATTCTTGACCTTTTCACTTCCAGTGAATTCTATTGCTATTTTTCTGTGGGTATAAAATAATTCCTTTGGTAGCTGGATTGGTATGATATTGAATAAACAAACTAATGTAAGTGGCATTGCCATTTTTATTATATTGATTCATCTTATCCATCAGGAAATAATATTTTCCTTATCATGTAGGCGTGCATTTCTGCAAACAATGGATTGTAGTTAAATTTATGTAGTTCTCATGTGTATCTTGGAAGGTGGATTCTTTTTTATACATGTGGTGGTAATTTTAAAAAGAATTGCTCTTTCTCTCTTTTCCTAACAAGTTTTACTGATATTATCCTGGTACCTCTGATAAAAATAGTGGAATCAAAGAAGGAACAGGTTTGGGTAAATTAGTAAGCTCAGTTTTGAATATGTTAAATTTGAGATGGAGAGGGAGAGGCAGAGATGTCCAGCAGGCAGTTGGATATGTGAATTTACATCACATGTTTGAGACAGAGGTCAGAGAAAGAGAGTTGGAAGTCATTGGTATAGAAGTATTAGTTGAAGCTATAGAACTATAGAGCTTCCTCAGGAAGTGAAAAAAAAGAGTTTAAGAGACAACTTTAATTGAACATTCATCTTAGAGAATTTAAAAGAAGATGAGGAGCCGGTAAAAGAGAGAGAGAAGGAGTTAAAGAGGTAAAAGTAATTTAGGTCACTATAGTGTTGCTGAAGCCAGAGGAAGAGACTCACTAGCAAATGGAGATGATAAATAGTGTCCAGTGCCACAGAGCAGCACTGGACTCAATGAAGCTAAGGACTAAAAATGACTATTAGATATAGAAATTAGATAATAATTGGTGAGCTTTGAAGAGTGGTTTCATTAGTGTGGTAGACAAAGAAACCTGATGCTAAGGGACCGAGGAGACAGAATACGCTAAAACAAAAAGGTATTGAATGTAGTCAATTCAAAAGGTATGAGGAAGAACAGAAGCTATAGCTATGTGGAGTAAAAGGGCTAAGAGAATGCTTTTTATGGATTAGGGAAAACTGAACATTTTTGTAGGCATATAGGAAGGAGTCAGTGGCAGGGTGGAGGGAAGAAGAGGAAAAAAAAGATATTGAGGTTGAGTTGCATTAGAATGTACAAGGGTTAAGATAGTGAGAAATCAGCCTTCACCAGGCTTAGAAAAACCTCTCCCTGAGAGAAGTTGTACCCATTCCCTCAATGGATGATGATAATGAGACATTTTAAGGAGTAAACAAGGGCAGTTAGGCTAACTTCCAGTGGATCATTGTCATCATCATCATCATCATTGCTAACATTTATGTAGCATTTGCTATGTGTCAAGGATTGTGCTAAATACTTTAAATTATTGTCTCATTTGATTCTCACAACAACCCTGGGAGGAATGTGCTATCATTCCCATTTTATGGATGAGGAAACTGAGGCAAATAGAGGTTAAATGACTTGCCTAAGGTCACACAATAAGTGTCTGAGTCCATATTTGAACTCACGTCTTCCTGACTCCAGGACCAGCACTCTACTACAGTATTCCCATAGAAGGAGCTACATGTCATCTACTGTCTAGAACAAGCCTGGTTTGGAACATCATATTCATGAAAACAAATTGTAATTTCACTCCCTGCATGAGTCCTATGTTCTAGGCATTTTTTTTCACAAATTTATATATGCAATCACAAGGAGGATCAGGTAAGAAAGAGAGCATATAGATAATTCAGCACAATGCATCACAATTACTGGGAAAAACATCCTTCGTTAGAAAGATATAGTGGGGCATTAACACTGAAATAGAAATGTTTTTCTTCATCTATGAAATACAGGAACTTCTGAGGTCCCCTCCAGTTGAAAATTTTTCCACATAATGGTGTATTTTAAAAATGTTTTTTCTTTTGATAAGTGACGTGTTTATAATGCATTTGTTTAAAAGAACATTTCAGAAATAGAAATGTGCTGTTGTATCTTTACCAACAAGTGCAGGACGCTTCTTGATGAATTTTTAGCTTGATAGTATCTTGCTAATTTTTTTTGTTTATTTTGGGGGTTTTTTTTTAGCATTTGGCAATTTAAACCATTACTTTTGTCAATGGCATTCCTTTTGTTTTAGGTAAGGAAGACTGTGAACCAGTTCCTGTGAATGTAACTGTTGACTACAAAGGCTGTACGAAGGAGGTTGAGATGGCAAAATGTATTGGGGAATGCAAAAATACGTTCACGTAAGTTAGGTTTTCTTTCCAAATGTTTGGGGTAGCACCTTTTTGACAGTTTGGAGGTAACTGAACTTTATGAATCTTTTTCACATACTCAAATGGATCTGTAGTCTCATCAATTTGGATCTTGCATCCAGTAATGCAGTGATTGCAACTAACCCATACCTGTGTATCCCGCACAACTTTTATATGAAGAAGATGTTACATGGGAACAATATTAAAAATACTTTGAGTCAAGATTTTTAAAAATGAATACACAGAATTCTAAATTCATATCAATAAAAATAAATCTTTGTAGCTCATTATGTATGCTCATTAAGTAACCTTCTAAATTTGCCTTTCATAGTTTGGAGAATTCGGAACAAAAGATTCACTTTCATTTAGTTGAAGGACTCAGGCAAGGTCATCATTAACAAGCCCACAAGTTGACATGTTTGGATTTTATATTATATATGTATTGCACATACATACATACATACATATATGTCTTACATTGTTTCTTTGGATGCTTTTTAACATTAGAACAAACATGGCTATTGTGAGCAGCAATACATGTCTGTATACTATATTTAGACAATTTAATGTCTGATTTACTATTTAGCTTATGGTATGAATTA